GCAGCAGCAGCTGCTGCTGCAGCACAGCAGCACATCTCCTTGTCTCTGCTTCCTTTGCTGCTGCTTCTGCCTGGAGACGAATCCCCATTAAGTCTTTAGCAGCGCAGCAACAAAGAAATATTCTATTTCATTAAAAGGTTTTATTTTATTCATTCAAATTAAATAAGACTAAATTCCTTCCGCAGCTTTTCCTGCTTCTGTCTCAACCCCTGGAGCCCCATAAACCCTAAAACCCACATGAGGGCCCCCTGGGGCCCCTGGGAGCCCCTAGGGGCCCCCACGGGCGGCGAGGGGCCCCAGGAGGCTCCTGGGGGGCCCCCAAGAGCTTCCAGTGCCCCACACAGGGGCCCCCTGGGGCCCCTGTGTCTTCTTAAGGGGGCCCTTGAGGGGCCCCCAGGGCCCCACACAGGGGACCCCAAGGGGCCCTAAAGGGCTTTTAAAAGGCCCCAAGAAGCCCTAAAGGGGCCTCCAGGGGGCCCCTGGGGGGGCCCCAAGGGGCCCCTCAGGGGCCCCCAGGGGGCCCCTGGGGGCCCCCAGTGGGTCATGGGGGCCCCTGTGGGGCCCCAGCGCGCGAGCATTTGTTGGGTTGTAGGAGAAGTGGCTTTGTTAGAAATTGATTTGAATTAAATAAATTTAAAAATAAATTTAAATTGCATTTATCATTTCAATTCTGCGGAATAACCCTAAACCCTAAACCCTAAACCGTAAACCCTCGGCCCCACGCAGCAGTTCGTTGGGACGAGGGCCCCCAGGGGCCCCCGAGAGTAAATTTAATTTTTTGGACAAATAAATATTAATTTTTAATTCAATTTTAATTTATTTATTTTTAATGACGAAAGAAGGAGCAGAAGAAGGCGCTCCAGCAGCAGCAGCTGCAGCAGCAGCAGCAGCAGCAGCAGCAGCGCCCCCAGCAGCAGCAGCAGGTGACCCCGCCCCAGCTCCCGGCGCAGCCGCCTCTCCCGCAGCCGCAGCTCCTCCCGCAGCAGCAGCAGCAGCACCCGCAGCAGCAGCAGCACCCGCAGCAGCAGCAGCACCCGCAGCAGCAGCAGGAGGGGGGCGTCCGCGGGACCCGGGTTTGCTGCTGCAGCAGCTGGCAGCAGCAGCAGAAGACGATGACCAGTGGTCCGTGTCTCCTGCTTACCTGGAGTTTCTGGAGGCGAAGTACAGAGACCTGGAGTGTCCCCTTTTCCTGGAGACGATCCCAGACGATCCCAGCTCCGATCCCCAGCTGCATGCGCTGCAGCAGCTGGCTTTCGAGGGCGAAACACCCCACACTGTTGCTGCCAGGTGTCGAGACACCGGAAACCGCTTTGCTGCTGCAGCAGCAGCAGCAAAACGAGCAGCAGACCCCGCCCGCTTCAAACGCCAACTCTTCAACGCCCAACAGGCCTACCAAGCAGTCCGCAAACCCTAAACCCTAAACCCTAAACCCTAAACCCTCGAGCCGCCGGGCAGTCCGAGGCGCTCGAGCGAACTCTAAACCCCAAACCCTAAACCCCGGGCCAAACCCTAAACCCTGCCGCAGACCCTAAACCCGGGGTTCTACACCCTAAACCCTACCGCCAACCCTAAACCCTAAACCCTAAACCCTAAACCCTCGGGAGTGCCCCAGAGCCGCTTTTGCGGCGCTGAGGCGGCTTCGAGCCACCGTAAGCGCGCAGCGCAGCCGCAAACCCCAAGCCCTAAACCCTAAACCCTAAACCCCAAATGGTTGTTTTCAGGGTTTGGAACAAGGAATAAAGGACAAAAGAGAACTTTCTCTGCTGCACTCCAATTTGGCGCTTTGCTGCTTAATGGGTGGGGAGCTGCTGCGGTGTATAGACAGCTGCAGGGCCGCCATCAGACTCAACCCCAGAAACCTCAAGGCGTAAACCCTAAACCCTAAACCCTAAACCCTAAACCCTGCGGCTGCACTCCAGAGTCCTCTCAGCCGGCGCAGGAACCCGCAGACAGAGTTTCGCCCAAACCCTAAACCCTAGACGCGCTGCTCGCAGAACCCTCCTGCTAAACCCTAAACCCTAAACCCTAAACCCTAATTGTGTTGCTGTCAGGTATCTGCGGGGGTCCAAGGCGTCGATACACCTCGAGCTGTACGCGCAAGCTGAGCGTTTTGCTTCCATGGGACTGGAGGCAGCAGCAGCAGCAGCAGAAGAAGCAGCGGCAGAAGAAGCAGCAGCAGCAGCAAAAGCCGAAGCAGCAGCAACAGAAGCAGACGGAGAAGCAGCAGCAGCAGCAGCAGCAAAGGCAGCAGGAAACGCTGCAGCAGAAAAGGAGCTGCGGGCGCTGCTGGAAGAGGCGCAGCGGCTGCACAAGGAGCAGCAGCAGCGCAAAGCAGCAGCAGCAGCAGCAGCAGCAGCAGCAAAACCCAAACTGCCCTCCCCAAAGGAAATTCTCAGCAAGAGGGGTGGGGTGTATGCACACCCTGCTTTCTTTTTTCTCCTTCTCACTTTTATCTTTCTATCTTTTATTTTATTTTATTTTACTTTGTTATTTTATTTTCTTTATTTTGATTTCTTATCTTCTCCTTTTGCCTTTTGCTGCTGTTTTATTTCCTCCGTGTGACTGCTGCGTGCGTTGCTGCGGCGTGGTCCACTGGTCACCTGCTGCTGCTGCTGCTGCTGCTACCACTGCTGCTGCTGCACTGCTGCTGCTGCTGCTACCACTGCCACCGCTACCTTGCTGTTGCTGCTGCTGCCACGACTTCTGCTGCTGCTGCCACGATTTCTGCTGCTGCTGCTGCTGCCACGACTGCTGCTGCTGCTGCTGTTGCTGCTGTTGCTGCTGCTGCAGGCGTGAGGGTTTGTGGGGTGCCGGCTGGTCTGGCGGAGATAGCAGCACAAGTGCCGGAGGTGTCTGTACACCTGGAGCCCCTAAACGGACAGTACTTTTTGCTGCTGCCGCTGCTGCTGCTGCTCGATGAATACTCAAGAGCTGATGCTGTAGCAGCAGCAGACGAGAGGCTTTCCCTGCTGCAGCAGCTCAAAACAATATTCCCTTCCAAGTACACACTCATGCAGCAGCAGCAGCAGCAGCAACAGCAGCAGCAGAGGATGGAGGCGGAGGGGGAAGCCACAGAGTTTCCTTCTTGGGACCATGAAAAGAAATACGTGCTAGAAAATCTTGTAGCTTATTATGAAGTAAGCTGCTGCTGCTGCTGCTGCTGCTGCTACTTTTGCTGCTGCTGCTGCTGGTTCTTGCACTGCCGGTGGTATTGTTGGTTGAGTGGCTGCTATTTCTTCTTTTGCCGCTTGTTGAGTTGCTTCTGCGTTTCCTGCTGCTGCTGCTGCTGCTGCTGCTTCTGCCTAGAAGTGGGACTGCTGGCCCCGTGTTGCTGCTGCTGCTGCTGCTGCTGCTGTATGGGGTTGCTGTCGGCGGTGCTGCACCTTCAGCTGCTGGCGTGGCTGCCAAAACTAGCGCATCCTCACATATTTCACTGCTGCTGCTGCTGTTGCTGCTGCTGCTGCTGCAGTGCGGGCTGCCAGGGGGAGTTTTGCTGAGCTTTCCGATGGGTCTTCCGCTGGCTCTTCTTTTGGAGCGTTCGAAACGCTTTATTGGGATTGCTGCATTCCACATCCTCGTGAGCTAGGGTTTAGGGTTTAGGGTTTAGGGTTTAGCGTTTAGGGTTTAGGGTTTGAGGGTGTTCAAGGGCCCAGCTGCGGCTGGATTGCTGTATTGCACATCCTCGTGAACTAGGGTTTAGGGTTTAGGGTTTAGCGTTTAGGGTTTGGGGTTTGAGAGTGTTCAAGGGCCTTGCTGCTGCTGCTGCTGCTGCTGCTGCTGCTGCTGCTGCTGCTGCAGGTGAAGGGCACACCGAGCCACGAAGCTTTCATCAGAGACGCACGCATAGAGAAGCTGGAGTTTTAGAGCTAAACCCTAAACCCTAAACCCTAAACCCTAGGGTCTTTTGTAAACCCTTGAGCCCAAAGCATATGTCCGCGGAAGGGTCCCGTTTGCCTTCGTCAGCAGGCTGAGCTGCTGCTGCTTTAAGGGTTTAGGGTTTAGGGTTTACGTTTTAGGGTTTAGGACTAAGGTTTTCGGACCTAGGGTTTGGGGTTGTGAAACTGAGGCCTAGCTTCTTGAATCCGGAGTTTATGATTTTGAATAAAGGGCGTAGGGCTTTTTATCTAGGGTTTAGGGTTTTGGATCTAGGGTCTAGGCTTTTGGATATAAGGTTTCGGGTTTAGCGCCTAGAGTATAGGGTTTAGGGTTTAGGGTTTAGGCGATTTATTCCGATGGATGTGGATCAAAAGCTGCGGAATTTATTCTTCTTAAGATTTAATTTATGTTTAAAGGACACAAAGAGAAAAAAAGAAGAAAAAGGAGAAAAAGAAGCAGCAAAACTGCAGCAGCAAAGCAGAAATGAAAAGAAGCAAAAGTATGCTGCCGGGGTTCGAACCGCGTCATCCGAACTTGAATTTTTCGGATTTTTCATTTTTAGTGCAAATTAAATTCTTTTTTTAAGTTAAATGCTTTTTACTTTAAATTAAATGCATTTTGATTCGAATTAAATGCCTTCTTCTCTCCAATTAAATTCAAATTTCACTTCATTTCGAGCAAGTTCCAAAACCTTCAACTTTTCGGTGCAGCCCCCAGCTGTGTGTACACCTGCGACCTTTCCTTCTTTTCATCTTCGTCAAATTGCGTTTCGGGGATTTAAATAGTTGAATTTAATTTATTTAAATTAAATAAATCTTTATTTCCATTCAATTTCAAATTCCACTTCTTAGCAGGGCTTAAATGTCTTTATTTTGCACTTCTGTTCTTGGGAAATGGAAAAGGATTTCAAAGACCCCCAGGGTCACCTGACCACTGGTCACTCCAATGGTCTGCGGTGGTTTCTAAACCCTGAAAAAGGGTTTAGAGAGCGCTTGAGACCTCCTAGATCCTGAACCCTTTCTGCTTCGAGTCTTCACGCAGAGCTCGTTCAGCAGCTCTTGCTGCTGCTGCTGCTGCTGGGCTGCTGCGGCCCAGCGGACCAATGGTCACCCGCAGCAGCAACACAAAGCAATAGAACCTGCTGCTGCTGCTGCTGCTGCAACTTCAGCTGCTGCAACGAACTGGCCAGCAGCCGATTCAGCACCACAAGCTGCTGCGCCTCGTGGGCACCAGCAGCAGCAGCAGCAGCAAGCGCAGCAGCAGCAACACCAGCAGCAGCAGCAGCAATAACAGCAGCAGCAGCAGCAACAACAACAGCAGCAGCGAAAGGGCCGTTCCGGGAATTGAACCCGGGACCTCTCGCACCCAAAGCGAGAATCATACCACTAGACTAAACGGCCGCGGTGAACACCTTAAACCCTAAACCCTAAACCCTAATCTTTAAATTCTAATCCCTAAACCCTAACCCTCAAACCCTAAACCCTCACATCAAAGTCTGATTCCTGGAGCCTAAATTGAGCAGTTAGTAATGGCAAGAGCGACGCTCACTGCAGCAGAAGGAGAGTTATTACAAACCCTAAACCCTAAACCCTAAACCCTCGACCAAACCCTCATCCTCTCAATAAGACTGGACAAGATGAGAATTGAATATTTAATTTCAAAATGAAGGAAAAGAGTCCACAGCAGCTGTGGTCGAGACTAGGCTGCTGCTGCTGCTGCACTGCAGCAGCAGCTGCTGCTGTCGCTGCTGCTGCAGATAGTAAACGGTAGCAGCAGAAGCAACAGCAGAAGCAGCAGCAACTGCTGCTCCTGCTGCTGCTGCAGGTAGTGGACGGAAGAGCTGCTGGCTGACCCCCTTACAGCGACTCGCTGGACTCAAACCCTAAACCCTAAACCCTAAACCCCCAGAGGGTTTCGCGCTCTAAGCGGTGGCCTTGAGCAAGAACTCCTGCAGCAGCTCACGCCGCAGCCAGCAGCAAAAGCCAGCAACTAGGACCTAGGGTTTAGGGTCTAAGGGTTTAGGGTCTTCTTAGGGGTTAGGGTTTAGGGTTTAGGGTTTAGGGTTTACTTTTAGCTGCTGCATTGCGCGGCCTCTGTGGGAGACACTGCTCTTCTCCTCCGTCGTCATTTCCCCGAAAGTCTTTTTCGAACTTTTCTCTTCAAAGATGCAGTCCCTGCACAAAACCCTAAACCCAAAACCCTAAA